CAATATAATCAAACAATACCCCGATTATATAATGAAGTAACATGATCAGAAGATCACCGGCAAAATAACCGGACACGCTAAAGTATAACCGAGCCGTAGTAAAAGTAGGTAGGGGCGGGACCTAATTTCGACGATCGGTCACGTGTGACCGTGATAACGTATGACCGATTTCGGGGCTCACACTATGTAGATTTCTCCCGTTCCTGGTTTCGCTACTTATGTAATTTAGCGCATGTGCACCTACCTGATCAACCAATCAGATCGTAAGATTAGGTGTAACGTGAAATCGAAAGAAAATAACGATTTTTCTAAAAATCGCTTGTAGTTCATAATTTTGCTTATGAAACCACTTTTCGAGTTCTAATAAAAAAAAATTGGCTCTTACCATAAATTAATGTGTTAATTGGTTTTGATTTCACGTTATACCTGATCTTATGGGTGCGTTACGCATATGCGCAAAATGATAAAATTATAACAAGAAGTTGATTGTTGTTAAATAAATTTATTAATATTGAATATTAATAAAAGAAAGATAGAAAATATTTATATAATTTACATATTTATAATCCCAACAAGAAATATAATGGAATAAAATATAATTCTCAAACAATAAAATTTGATTTTGTAATAAACATACAAAAATTAATGTGATACAGAATAATTAGCATAGAAGGCAGAAAATTTGCCTTGTACTTATAACTATTCAAATATGATATTTTAATTAACACCAAATCTTTGTTTTCGCGTTCAAGAATGATTTTAAATCAAAAATCATGATGCAAAAACTCTGATTGTATCAGGCCTACTTTCAATCTCTAAATTTGAGTGCCACCCGCAGACCAAATTAGTCACAGCAATATGATCGTTTGTACTGTCGTTTGCCGATATATATAGAGTTTCTAAGTTCGGCAATAAATAAGACAAGACATTGCAGTGTTGCTCAGTGATTCCACTAAAAGCTGAAATACTGATATGCTTTAATTTTTTACACTGCAAAATTACTTTCAAGGAGTCATCCGAAATTTTTCGAAAATCCAATCTATCCAAATGCAGAGAAATTAAATGATCCTTTTGGGACTCTAACGTCTCAATATATTTTCCAGTAATAGCACCACGACATTTCAAAGTGAAATGATTTAATGCTTTTTGTACTCTAATGAGTTTAATTAAAAGCGTAGTAATCTTTTCATCAATATCTGTTTCAGCAAAGTCAAAAGTGACATCGCAAAGACTTAAACATAAATCAGGTAATTTTGTTAAAAATTGAGATACGTTTTTTTTTGTAGGGGTATTATTAAGTGTAAGATGAAAAGAGTGTAAACTTGATATGCCCGGTTGACTTGATGAGAAAATGGAAGCGTTTGAGACATCAGGCTCATCCTCAGCTACCTTCATGCTCAATATTTTAAGATTTCGATTTGTACGCAGAACCATCCGAACGATAGCAGAGACGACAGCCTGGACTATACGCAATTCTCCACATTGGCAAAAGTAACCCGCACCAGCAAGCCATTTTAAACAGGCAATATGTAAAAAGTGTAAATCAAGAGTTTCTAAGCAGGGTGCATATTTGGATGAATGTGATTTGATAAAAGGAAAATTAATTCTTAGAGGGATTAACGTTTTTTGCTCTTCTAAATTTAATTCATTTAAATAAGTAAGAATTATTGAATCCCTCCATTTCGCATTGTTGATAAAAGGATTTTTCCATAACATATACACAGCGATTCCATGTATAAATTTGTTGATAAATAAACAATTATAAAGATCTTTTACATCATTCAAATAGGAAAAAATTTTAAGAACACATTCATTTGGCAAATCGGAGAATTCCTTTCTATGATTCATATTTAATGTTGTCCATACGCTTTGTGTCTGAACTAAAAGGAATAAAGAAAAGATTATGAGTAATTTTCATGTATTGAAATAATGCGTTTATATTAATAAATATCCTTATTAATCCGAAATAATAAAAGCTCTTACATCGGTTGTTATCCTCAACATTCATGACATCGCCATTGGCATAAATATTCCTATGATTATTACTATTATTCATATTCATATTATTATTGTCATCAACATTATCATTCAAATGTGAGTTTTGAATTGTAATATTTTCGACAAACTCTACAGATGTAACATTTAGTAAAGTATCTAGAATTGTTTCGATCTCATGTAATTTTGGACGCATGTTAGGATCTGCTTGCCAACATTTCTTATAAATTTCAAGATATTCTGCAGGAGTATTAAGGAGTTCTTTTTCTCTTTCGCCTTGATAAATTTTAGTAGTCACATCTGCCTCCGAACAATTATAAAAGGGAGGAATTCCACTTGTTAACTCCCAGAGAATACTACCAAGACTATATACATCTGATCTTTTGTCGAGAAAATAATTTCTTTGGAGAAAGAATTGGGGATCGGTATAAGCTGGATTGACTTTCAGCTCAGGTAAAGAATTATATGGACAATCTAATTCCATTGATGAACCAAAATTGTATATCATCGCTTCATTCTCATTTATCAAAATGTTTTTAGAATGCTAAAATAATAATAAAAAAATTAGAAGTTTGTATGTCATTAATTTAAGGACACATCTATTCCACCATGGTAAAAATGCCATTTCGTCCCATGGTTTTACTATGTAACATCCTGAATATTTTACATTCTCATAAATCTAATTAAATGACGCCAAGAAAAACCAATCTTCTGGGTTTCAAAACACAGCTATGAACGACGACATATAAAGTAAAGGTAGGTAAAATGGCGAAGTTGAGTTTTCATAAATAAAAAAACGATTACGAAAAATTTATATATTTAAATTTCTATTTCCTTTCGAGCTATATATAAAAATACAGTTGTTTTACTTAAATTATATGATGTCACTTTGAGGATTATGATTCTTAGTTTTTGCGAACACAAAACCGAAGATATGTAAACTGACGATCATTGGTTTTTTAACAATACAAGCCTGAATTTTTGCCAAGTAAATCGACCTTTGCCTATTCACTAAATAATTTTATTCAAAATTTTGTGAAATATTAACAACCTTTTATTAGTAGTTTTTTTTTCATTATACATTTTGGCGTAGAAAATTATTTTTTTGCGTCAAAGTTTATAGCAAAAAAGCCTATTAATAAAAAGTTGTAAATATTTCACGAAATTTTGAAGTAAAAAAAAAAGAAGCTATTGCAAACAACATTACTTGATTTATTTAGTAAAAAGACAAATTGTCTTGTAATAGTTTCAATTCGCCATAATACCCACATTTACCTTATGATACGTAACGTATCATGTCTTGGATCAATGCTGAGTCTAGGCCCGTGCGACAAGATTTTCACGCTATATTTGATTGGACAACAGATACCATGGTGGAAATGATTTTAATTACAATTAACAACTTTATGATAGAAAAACATACTAGATTTCTATGAATGATTTCCTTAGAATGCAACCATTCTAATCCAGAAGCAATTCCTTTTGCTATTCGGACAAGATCACACCACGAAATTTTAAAAATGTCATCATTTATTTTACTTTGCAAATAATCTTGTAAGTTTCCATTATCCGCATACTGTAGAACCATCGTGAAAGCATCGTTGTCTAAATTAAAATTATTAACGTTAATAAGCCTCATGCATTAATGTATAAATTAATAATATTAATATAAAGGAAAATTTATAAATGCAAATTTAAGGTTTTCACAATACTGGATTTAAACCAGAAATTGCGATTGTATTTGTACGCCCAGAAACTGCGATTAAATTGCATTATATCAATTTTCAGGATTCCGGAATTGTACTTAAAAGTTTTCCCTTAGTAGCATCCATATATATAAATTTATACCTTTAGCAATTCCAAAAATCTGGCAAATGTTTGGATGGTGATTATTTCGACTTCCGACTTTGCAATGAATTTTAAGCTTTAAAAAACAATTTTCTGTTAATGAAATACAAAAACCAATTATTTACTAGTTAAAACATATTACCTCGTTTATGACGCTTTCAAAGGAATTTTGACTAAAAAAATCATTATTTTCTTCCATAATTTTCAACGTAACTCTTGCATTTTCGGATTCACAGTGGGCAGATTTTATAGTTGCATTTACATTATCGCTGATAGTAATAATGTTACTAAATTCTGAACTATTAACTAGGCGTAATAGTCCCTGGTTTAAAGCTGAATTCACCCAACTTGACCCCAAAAATCCTAATTCTTATAAAAGTAACAATATATTATGAGAAATCTTTGTGTCATAATATAATCAGGATTAGCAGATTGACTAATGTTGTCAATTTGTTATTGTTATTAAAAATTTATTTAATTAAATTTATATTTAATCTTAATACAAAATCATTATGCTTAATTTAAAATCAATTAAATTTGTTAAAAATTTATCAAGTTGGTCAAATTGGTCATTTACCAACCCTGAGTATAACGATTTAAATGATTTTAATAACTCACAAAAAAATTTTCGTTATTTTTATATTCTCCGTTAAAGCATTCAAAGTATATGAATACACAAGAATAAGATATAGATATAATAATTTTTATATGCATAATTGTATTTTTATACATACCAATATTTCTATCGTTGTCACTCATTGGTGCTGAATTTTTTTAAGGTTCGAGAAGATATCTATAGAAAATCGAACAAAAATTAATATTAATAACTAATATTCAATTTTATAGGCAATAGAAAATTTTTGTTTTTGTCATGTGGGCATATAAACATCTTGTTTTATCAATAGTGTAGGACATCTGCAACGTCAAAATAGTACGTACATACAAATGTGTAATACCTATGCATTGTCATTGAGAGTGTGTAACCTTCGATAGTTTGGAATATTCTATTTCTCGCTATGATGCATCGCAAAAATATGACACATTGGAGAAACTGAAAAAAAACTAATGTTCATTTAAATCTAGAATTTGCAACTTTATCTGTGTTAAACGCTACTTACATGCAATAAAAACAAGACTACAAATACCGTGACAGAAAAGATACACAAATTGATTTTCTGGTTAACATAACAAAAAAATAGAAAAAAACTTGTCGGTGAATGAACTGTCGGTAAGTTGATTGTCGGCGAGTTGATTGATCGTCGATGAAGTGATCGTCGATGAATTATGTCGACGAATCAATTGTCAGTGATTTGAGTGTCGGTAAAATAAATATGTCGGTAAAGTGTTGTGTCTACGAAATGAGTGTCGGTGAAATAAGGTGGATCCGTTTTTTCATCCAAAAATAGGGCTATGTTAAACGAAGAATAAAATTTGTTTGTGCTTATTAAAATATGCTCAGGAACATTCTTGCCAATGCCTTTAAAATTTTATAATTTCTTGGACCTGGTGTTACAATAAAAAACTTTAATGGTAACAAATAACACTAGCAGCATGTGAAAAAGTCTGACCGTTCTTTCCATTTTCCTGATAAATGACATTAGAACATAATGTCTTATAACTACTAATTCGATTGCCACCTAATAGACAGTCTCATAATATATTCAGTTGCTGCTGTTGCTGAAAATACTACATAGTGATGGACTTGTCATCTGTTTATGTAAAATTAAGATTGCTTCCCAGAGAATAAAGTTGGTAAATGATTATTTGAAATAATATGCTTTTATTCATTGAGTTTTTAATAGATAAATTTTATTTATTAAATTTCACAGGACTTGTTTTTTTTAGGGGGGAACTAATTTAGGCAGGGTGATTTTTATTAAGAAATTAACAGAGTACATGATATAGAAGTGAGCAATTGGCCGAGTTGGCCAGAACGGCACAGACTACCCGCGAAATGAGCAATCGTAATTGCACTGGGAGTCACCGTGAGAGCAGCCGGTGGTTCCCACTCGCTGAAGCAAGCTGGCTGTGAGTGACGAAATGATAGAATCACGTGTTCAGATTTTTTTTTTTTTAGGATTCTATCGTTGAAGGCACGATTTTTTTATTTATTTATTTTTTGCATATGACGGTGAGACCGAACTTCGCTCCAAACGTTATGTTGAGGAGGTCGATCATTTTATGCATTGTTTGTTTCACTATGTCGTACTTCTTTCCTTTTTTTTTGTTATTTTGATGTCCGTGATCTTTATTGTTGTGAATTTTAACTATAACTCCTGATTTAACTATATTATTATCATTATTATATATACATATATATTTTCCTTTATTGTGAATATTGTGAGCCCCGAAATTTGTCCTACCGTTATCACGGGGGTCTGTATTATTTCACCGACAATCATTTCACCAACAGCTCATTTAACCGACATGACACCAGGCTACAATTTACTAAAAATGTATACCAGTAAATAATAAAATGCTAATCCTAACCCTATGCGATGTCGGTCAAATAAGCTGTCGGTGAAATGATTGTCGGCGAAGTAAACGGCACCGTTGGGGTGTTTGGTCAACATATAAAATCAAACATAAACTCATACAGGAGGATCCTCAAAATTCTGGGTCGGAATACCTCGGATTTGGCCCGGCATTTAGTTAGCATTTAGTAATACAAGTTAACCACTTCGGGCCAAAATTATCAGCTGGGCAGCTTTACTTAATGAGTGAGCTATGGTTTCATTAGTAAAACTTTTAGTGATCTTGGGCAAAATTAGTTAATTCCGGCCCTGCCGATCATGATTCCGATGTATTCCGACCCGGAATTTTGGGGATCTCCCTGTACGAGTTTCAAACATATGTATAGTCCCCTATCAAATCGGTATAATTGAGATTTCTATGTGATGTGATTGGGGCAGATTCACATATTGATCTGCATACCGCATAAATTGTATTATTGATATATACATATAAATATTATACTAACATCAAAAAAGTAACCATGCTAATTTATTCTTATATTGATGAAACACATGTTTATATACATTATCAATCAATTAAAAAAAAATTTTCAATGTTACATTTTAATTTTGAAAAATTTTATTGAATGTATCTAACACATATTGTGTACTAAAATCTTTCACATTTGGTTCTTTTTTTTAATCTTATTATGATGTCAAATTTCATCCATTCTATTTTTAACATTATCTTTTAAAAAATTTATATCAGAAAGACATAATTTGGATTCTTTAAGATCCAGTAACATGTTTGGATAAGTTTTTAAATCAAGTTTGTTAAACCAGTATAGGAAATCTAATATTCTTATATTCTCAAGAGAACATATTTTTGAATTTGAGAATATTTGTTACTTTGAACATGTTTTCTATAAAAAAATTTTTGAAAACATATTACTTAATAAATATGTTCTCTATATACTATAGTATAAATTAAGTTAACAATTAGAAAATAAATAAATTTTCAAAAATTCTAAAAAGAGAATGAACAAACATAAAAGACAAGCAAGTTTGAGATAAAAATTTAAATAAATTATCAATATTATTTGAAAATTTTCAAAAAATAGTAATAGTAATTTTTGCTATTAAGAATATAAAAATATTTTTGAAAATATTAAATTAAATAATTGTGTTTATGAACTTATAAAACAGTAAATAATTTAATAAATTAGGATTTAAATTGTCACAAAAATTATTAAGTTGTTCATGAAAAGTTAAATTTGAATTAAAAAGTTTTCTCAATCCAAAATCTTTTGTTATGTTATTTTTAACATTATTTTTTAATTATTTTATATATATTGTTTCTTATTTAGATGATTGAAAGACTACTGAAATATTTAAGATAACTTGAGGGTAATTTTTAGCAAAAAACTGAGCATAATTTTCTTCTAACTAACAAACTGATAAAGATAATTTCGTTTATTGAAGCATCTCTTTTTTAAAATATATAATCATTTTTTTCATGCCCTTTTCTAATAAATCAAATATTTTACCAAATTCTAATTCATTTAGTGATTTGAGTGCTTCAAGTAACTTTTTAGAAAAAAATATATCAAAATTATTTGTGACATCTGTTAGAAAATCTAACTATTATAAAACCTTATCTGACATTTCATGGATATGTTAACCAAAAAGTAAATTTATCTAGTTTTTTTTATTAAATATTCATGGTACAAAATCTTGATCAACAAAGAATGTCATTAATGGAATAAAAAAATATTGACCAAATGTTGTTAAATATTTAATTTAAATATTAAGTTTTTTATTATTAAGCCAGATATGAAAGAGATGCTAATCATTTAAATAAGACTGAGTCATATTAAAATGTGATTTCAATGTTTTAATAAACCATTCTGCAAATTTAAAATGTGATTTCTTTCTCTCTAAATATTGTTTAGCAGTATATAACTCATATCTCTAATGAGTTTGTAACGGCATTTGATATTGTAAATAGCAATATCCAATAAGTAATTTATAGAGATCTTGAATATATCCTGATTTTATATTCATTGATACATTACTATTTTTGTTTTTGTAGCCATATAAAGATACCAAGCAAGATATAGAAGATTGAAAAATAAGGTTTTTTTAAAAAACCAGATACACATCTGAATACTTCTTTTTCAAAATTGGTAAATACAATATTAATAATATGTAATGCACATTCAATTCTAGTTAAATTTGAGTTTGTTAATCTATTAAACTTGATAATGATACCACTTATGTTTCTGGACATATATACAGTATTATCGATAAGCTATGTCATACATTTTCATATATCAAGTTGATATTTTTGACAAGTTTCAATAATTGAACTTACAATAGTATCAGAATTGCATTTTTTTATAATTTTTAAATTAACTATATTTGATATTGAGTAATTTTGTTTCTTATCTCAATACATTAAACAGATAATCAGATTTTTGTCTTAACCACTAGTTGATTCATCAGCAGAAATACCAAAAGTACTTGTTTGTTAAGTATATTTGACTAAATAAAAAACAGTCAATTCTAATATTTGTTTATACTAGGTTATAACTCACTTCATTGAAATCTAATTTTTTAGTAATTCATCTATTAAAATCTCATATACTAACTTTGTACATTCTATAGTAACCTGCATTGAAACTTGTTCGACTTGTGTCAATTTAATTGTAAGCCAAATCATATTTGATGAATAATATTGATTATT